AAAAGCACCTGATGATATTACAGGAGAATGAAAATGTGAAAGAAAATAGAGAAATAATGAAATGCTTGATTGATATCATCTGCCATTTAGGAAAGTGGCAACTTGCCCTCCATGGTCATGATGGAAGCATGGATTCTATCAACCTAGGTAATTATGTGGAATTAGTTCACTTGTTGAGGAAATATGATCATAAACTCAATGGTCACCTTGAGAACAGTACAGTATTTACAGGTTTATCAAACAGAATACAAAACGACCTTATTGACTCAGTAAGTGATGTGAATTTTGGTGAGTTGATTGCTATCAGTTCGTTTATTAGATACCACTACTTCCCTCACCAAAAACAGTATCGTACACCACTGAGCAAAAGAAAATATTCTTCTTGAGGTCTCCTGACTCTGATTCAGTTACTTTCAACATGAATCTATGCAGATGACCACAGCAAACTTTCAGTTCCTATACTGTCCTATGTATCTGCCTTACAAATAAATGAAAACTGCAGCTTAGGGGGTAGCACTCTTGCTTCGTAATTGGTAATCTCAGGTTTCAATCTGAGAGACCGACTGACGCTTCACAAGGTGTTACTCAGTCCTTCCAGCAAATGCCAGGATGGTACCTCAAGTTAGGCCATGATCACTTTCTTCCAAATCTTTCCCAACTTGTTACTCACTAATCATGCCAACATTTGATACTCTGAGCTTATTGTGCTATTAAATAGATGATAAACATGAAAATAAATTCACCAGCAACATACAAAATAAAGAGTTACCATGCGCCTCTGTTGCACATGAATGGCAGACAAATACATGAATAAGTGCAATGCATACATTTCTGTACTATGTATCGTAAAAAACTAGAGTCCACAAACAGTTATGCACTGTTATAAAATACAGAATGTAATTTATTTGATGGTCTTTTCAATGTTACCTTTCCTTACGTTAATCATCTTAATAACATATTTTATTGAACAAATATTAAAAAAAGAAGTTGGTCATATACGATTTATGACTAATATATCTGAGACTCCTGGATTAAGCAGCAATGAGACATTAGTTATAAAAACTCGATGTGTATTAAAATGTAAGATGTTGGTGTAAGTGTAATTGAGGTATCTGCAACAGCTAAACTTAAGAAGCAATATGAAAGAAGTTGGCAATGGCACTGGACCTAATTTGTATCTTATTACATTATGGGATAAAACCCATTTTCTGGTATTGGCACATTATTTGTAATAAATTAACTATATACTAATTAGTATTTTCCCCTTAAAAGACCAAAATAAAGAGGTTAACAATAGAGGGGAGAACATTTTCAGCAGCAATTACCATTGTTCATATACAAGTATAAAATTTGCTCCATACAGCCTCTCTTTTGTAAATATTATTTTCTGCAAGTAGAGTCTATAAATGGTTTGAGATTAGAATGATGTGGGGAAGAAAAAATAATGGAACCCAGAGTGCTAGATGTAGAGTCTAGAAGCTACGCAATTTATTAACAAGGTCTAACATTGTAAGTGGCCATTACAACTGGCCCAATTAGAGAATAACTCAACCTTCCTTGTTCCAACTTCCACTTTTGTCTCCGAGGTTCTTCATAATGTAGGTAAAATCCACTTACTTACATTAAATTTTGTGGACAATCTGGACAAGGAAAGATGTGAGTTGAATAAAAAGTTTCTGAGCTTTTACTATCTCCAGATAATGAATCTGTTCTCACAATTTCTTTCCTTTTGAAGATGTGCTTTGTGATGAGTTTTTCGTCCTACAATCTTCTCTTGCTTTCACATATTGGATATGTTTGAAGTACATACATTACAGCAGGGCATGGTTTGGTTGTTACTAATATTTTATGCCCCAGTATTTATCTTTCTGATTGCACTATCTTCTGCTACTTCAGAATACTGTATTCAGCTTTAATTTGGGTATCCTTGCAGCACAGCTGGAATTTCACCAGTTCTTCTCTTGCCATATCAGGAAAGAAAAAAAAATGCTCCAACCTAAAGAAGTTCATAACAAAGTCACTATATTAAAAATTCTGCACTTTGTTGCTGTGATGATTCCAGCTGTCATTAAAATGTCTCTGAATTAGTTCCTCGGCCTTTGACTTGCTGTACCAGGAAAAAACTCTGTGTATTGCTTTATGGTATTAAATCACATATGCATGGCAATATACTTCAGTACTCACTCCGATCTGCTATCATTTTATAAATTTATATTTATGAAACTCACTGCAGAATATTATCATGAAATTAAGTACAACAGGGTATCCTTATCCACGCTGTACACTATGTACACATAATTTTTTTTATTTTTATACCCCAAATAATTTCTCCAAAATATTGTTGTTGAGCGGAGACCTGTAAAAAGTAAATATAAATCAGGGACATTGCCATATATACCAAGCAGATCTTACATGTATAATATAAATCATCATGGAAGACAAGAGGGATAGAGAATGGTCTGATCAATAACAAACATTCCTGACAAAAAATGTCAAACCACGCTTTATCACATGAACAATTTAAATGTTAAGCTCTCTACACTCAAAATTTAACAATATTTTGAACAATTTCCTTAGAACTATTATCTTGATATCTGTACTGTTCATATTTTCTACTATATTTTCAAAAAGTGCAAAAGGGTAACTGAAATTTTCATCTGTTACTGTTTATGGTACTATTCCTTAAATTCTATACTGGTTCTATGTTTCCCAACATACATTGTGAAATTATCTGTCCTAGGTAACTCCAGAAAAGTATCATTGGGTTCTGAAANTCTTCTACCCTGAAGATGGAGGCGATACGTTCCTCCGAAACGTCGGTTAACACCACATATACACGGTGCCAAATCCCAGAAGACTGCTTTCTTCATAGTTACCGCCATGAAAGCCTCAAATCTTACGAATCATGCTCAAACTGAAAAATTTTTCAAACTTCCAATTTTTTAGCACCCTTTCAATGACAACGCTGACTGTTATAGAAACAAGGCTACCATTTTTTATAATAAGTAATTTACTCTGTTTCTAATTTCTCTACATAAATTTTATTGATATATGACATCATCTCAATAAGAGATACATACTTCATGCGTGAAAATCCTACATTCTCTTCTAATTCTGTGTTCCACTATAGGAACATCCTGATCATGAACACTGAAGGGATAACCCCATTTTGGAAAGTACAGAATAATTTTATTAAATCTTCTAATAGTGTTAAAAATAATAAAATATATACAAATGCATCATTCTGGGTTTGAGTAAGACATAATCCATGGGAGAATAAATATAATTTGTTTACTACATGCAGGATAAATTTATCGATATGCTTTAACTAAATGCAAACCTCATACCTACCTTTACGTGCTTGACCTTCTTCATATGAATAAAATAACGTCTTTCCTCCTTCAAGGTTACTTTTTTCACATCTATTATCCATCATAATTTTTACAAGGGAATCCTATAACCATAACACTTTTCACGTGGTTATGTTTAAAAGAGTCAGCATTTACAATTCCTTCCCTCCCTCTATCATTGCTATGAGTTTACCAGTATCCAAACTGCTGCTATGATTACTATGTGACATATTATCAAAGTTACAAAGTAGTATCAGCAATAACTACTGATTATTTTTATTGAATCACAAAACAGTGTAACTCTTGATGGCTATTTAAACAAGTACTGTATGTGAAGACTTGAAAACCATGCATAAATCTACATCTGTAGATCTATTAGTTTAAGTTGGAAAATGAAATATTTCCATGCCAAATTTGTTACCTTTTCCAAAATACGAGTACACGGTGATCTGAGGCTTTGTTACTTCCAACCATCATTCTATAACCTCTTTTCACACAACACAATCAGGTGACATGCAATCAACAAGCATTCAACGGATGGAATTATATTGAGATTACCATGCTATCTTCCATTAAATAAACAAACATTAAATTCACATGCAATTATTTGCTGTTAGGTGTTGATACTCAAACTGTAAAATGTAAAAACTAATGTACTGGCTGAATAAACAATAAGTATTAAGGGTTCAGCATTCAGTGTTATTACAAGGTGTACTGGAAAGTTCCTGGACTGGGTAAAAACTAAACGCTGGCTCAGCTTACTCAATATTGGCTGCCATCTCCTNATGGTTTGAGATTAGAATGATGTGGGGAAGAAAAAATAATGGAACCCAGAGTGCTAGATGTAGAGTCTAGAAGCTACGCAATTTATTAACAAGGTCTAACATTGTAAGTGGCCATTACAACTGGCCCAATTAGAGAATAACTCAACCTTCCTTGTTCCAACTTCCACTTTTGTCTCCGAGGTTCTTCATAATGTAGGTAAAATCCACTTACTTACATTAAATTTTGTGGACAATCTGGACAAGGAAAGATGTGAGTTGAATAAAAAGTTTCTGAGCTTTTACTATCTCCAGATAATGAATCTGTTCTCACAATTTCTTTCCTTTTGAAGATGTGCTTTGTGATGAGTTTTTCGTCCTACAATCTTCTCTTGCTTTCACATATTGGATATGTTTGAAGTACATACATTACAGCAGGGCATGGTTTGGTTGTTACTAATATTTTATGCCCCAGTATTTATCTTTCTGATTGCACTATCTTCTGCTACTTCAGAATACTGTATTCAGCTTTAATTTGGGTATCCTTGCAGCACAGCTGGAATTTCACCAGTTCTTCTCTTGCCATATCAGGAAAGAAAAAAAAATGCTCCAACCTAAAGAAGTTCATAACAAAGTCACTATATTAAAAATTCTGCACTTTGTTGCTGTGATGATTCCAGCTGTCATTAAAATGTCTCTGAATTAGTTCCTCGGCCTTTGACTTGCTGTACCAGGAAAAAACTCTGTGTATTGCTTTATGGTATTAAATCACATATGCATGGCAATATACTTCAGTACTCACTCCGATCTGCTATCATTTTATAAATTTATATTTATGAAACTCACTGCAGAATATTATCATGAAATTAAGTACAACAGGGTATCCTTATCCACGCTGTACACTATGTACACACATATTTTTTTATTTTTATACCCCAAATAATTTCTCCAAAATATTGTTGTTGAGCGGAGACCTGTAAAAAGTAAATATAAATCAGGGACATTGCCATATATACCAAGCAGATCTTACATGTATAATATAAATCATCATGGAAGACAAGAGGGATAGAGAATGGTCTGATCAATAACAAACATTCCTGACAAAAAATGTCAAACCACGCTTTATCACATGAACAATTTAAATGTTAAGCTCTCTACACTCAAAATTTAACAATATTTTGAACAATTTCCTTAGAACTATTATCTTGATATCTGTACTGTTCATATTTTCTACTATATTTTCAAAAAGTGCAAAAGGGTAACTGAAATTTTCATCTGTTACTGTTTATGGTACTATTCCTTAAATTCTATACTGGTTCTATGTTTCCCAACATACATTGTGAAATTATCTGTCCTAGGTAACTCCAGAAAAGTATCATTGGGTTCTGAAAGGGAAAATGATTTACTGATATGCAAACTGTTTTGAAGAAACCACACATACAACAAATGTCAGATGAATCATGCTCAAGAAGAAAGCAGTCTTCTGGGATTTGGCACCGTGTATATGTGGTGTNTGAAAGCCTCAAATCTTACGAATCATGCTCAAACTGAAAAATTTTTCAAACTTCCAATTTTTTAGCACCCTTTCAATGACAACGCTGACTGTTATAGAAACAAGGCTACCATTTTTTATAATAAGTAATTTACTCTGTTTCTAATTTCTCTACATAAATTTTATTGATATATGACATCATCTCAATAAGAGATACATACTTCATGCGTGAAAATCCTACATTCTCTTCTAATTCTGTGTTCCACTATAGGAACATCCTGATCATGAACACTGAAGGGATAACCCCATTTTGGAAAGTACAGAATAATTTTATTAAATCTTCTAATAGTGTTAAAAATAATAAAATATATACAAATGCATCATTCTGGGTTTGAGTAAGACATAATCCATGGGAGAATAAATATAATTTGTTTACTACATGCAGGATAAATTTATCGATATGCTTTAACTAAATGCAAACCTCATACCTACCTTTATGTGCTTGACCTTCTTCATATGAATAAAATAACGTCTTTCCTCCTTCAAGGTTACTTTTTTCACATCTATTATCCATCATAATTTTTACAAGGGAATCCTATAACCATAACACTTTTCACGTGGTTATGTTTAAAAGAGTCAGCATTTACAATTCCTTCCCTCCCTCTATCATTGCTATGAGTTTACCAGTATCCAAACTGCTGCTATGATTACTATGTGACATATTATCAAAGTTACAAAGTAGTATCAGCAATAACTACTGATTATTTTTATTGAATCACAAAACAGTGTAACTCTTGATGGCTATTTAAACAAGTACTGTATGTGAAGACTTGAAAACCATGCATAAATCTACATCTGTAGATCTATTAGTTTAAGTTGGAAAATGAAATATTTCCATGCCAAATTTGTTACCTTTTCCAAAATACGAGTACACGGTGATCTGAGGCTTTGTTACTTCCAACCATCATTCTATAACCTCTTTTCACACAACACAATCAGGTGACATGCAATCAACAAGCATTCAACGGATGGAATTATATTGAGATTACCATGCTATCTTCCATTAAATAAACAAACATTAAATTCACATGCAATTATTTGCTGTTAGGTGTTGATACTCAAACTGTAAAATGTAAAAACTAATGTACTGGCTGAATAAACAATAAGTATTAAGGGTTCAGCATTCAGTGTTATTACAAGGTGTACTGGAAAGTTCCTGGACTGGGTAAAAACTAAACGCTGGCTCAGCTTACTCAATATTGGCTGCCATCTCCTTCAAAATAATCTGCTTGGAATGTATTGAGTGATCCTATCATTTTTCCATGCTTCAAAAGCACTATGGAAGTCATTTTCCTTAATGCTGTTGAGTACGACTTGCGATTCCCTTTGGATGTCAGACACTGTTTCAAAATGTCGTCTCTTCAGTTTCATTTCAATTTGGGAAACAAAGCGAAATCACAGGGGCCTAAGTCTGGCGAGTATGGAGGATGGGGAATGATAACCATGTTGTTAGTCACAGACTGTGTGGTTTTCAGGGATGTGTGGGCTGGTGCATTGTCGAGATGAAGGAGCAATGCAGAGCATGTTCAGATTTTCTGTTAAGAACTTCTTGCAAACTCCATAACTAATCCCAGCAATGTCTGTGAGCTCATGGATTGTTTGGCAATAGTCTATGTTGATAACTTTCTGAATTTTTTCAATATTTTATATCGTTTTGCTTGTGCTTGGTCGCCCTGAAAGTTCATCATTTTCAACTGACATTTGACTGGCCTTGAAAAGTGAATGCCATTCAAAAACAGTTGTCTGGCCTAAAGAATATTCTCCAAAAGCCTCACGAAGCATTTCAAGGGTTTCAGTAGCAGATTTACTGTGCTTCAAGCAAAACTTGATGCAGACATGTTGCTCAATTTCACCATCCATCATAGACAAAACAAAACATGACTGTTGAAAAAGCACTTGTGTAAAAACAATATGTGTTCACAGCACTATATCATGTGGCAGACTGACGCAATAGGCTTTTGATGTGAGACCTTGGCCTCCCCCTNTAGGTAACTCCAGAAAAGTATCATTGGGTTCTGAAAGGGAAAATGATTTACTGATATGCAAACTGTTTTGAAGAAACCACACATACAACAAATGTCAGATGAATCATGCTCAAGAAGAAAGCAGTCTTCTGGGATTTGGCACCG